GCTGAACTCCTTAGAGACGTTCATCTCATATACAGGCAAAGCAGGGTGGAGGCTGGTTTCTGTCAAGCATCTTTGGCCAATTTCAACAATGCAGAGATCACGGCAAGTGCTACTGAAGCTTCTGAGTGAGAATCCATGAATCTGAAGAACAGGTTGTTGAGACTGATGTGCAAGCTGCAGCCCTGAACCAAGTGGTCAGAGATCTGAGCTCAGACCTTCAGTTGGTGAAAGCCTGCAGGTCTGCAAGGGTGTTACTTGATGAAATCCAAAAAAATTATGAGAGATTGAGAATGGGCAGAGGAAGCTCAGCAATCCATGAGAAATTGGGGCGGGAGACTGAGGCAAAGGTATTTCTCAGCTAATACAGGAGCATGAATCTCAGAACCAGAAAGCCAGCCCAGCATTTCTGTGCCTTCTGACCTATGTGTCATGTTGCCTTTATGGGTCAGGCCTAACAGGCTGAAAAGATGCAGAAGTTGCCAGGGGAACCTGTGATGATTTTGAGGCCTCCACTATCCTCCCCAATGCTGAACTTCTAGAGTTTAGCACAAAAATGAGAGGCACAGTTCTGTGCTGTCTGTTTCATAAATTTTTGGTAAAGTAAAGGTAAAGGTTCCCTTGCTCGAAAGCCTGTCGAATCCGACTCTAGGGTTGCGGTGCTCATCTCCATTTCAAAGCCGAAGAGCCAGCGCTGTCCGAAGACGTTTCCGTGGTCATGTGGCCGGCATGACTAGACACCAAGGTGCACGGAACGCTGTTCCCTTCCCACCGAAGTGGTACCTATTTATCTACTTGCAATTTCTTGCTTTCGAACTGCTAGGTTGGCAGGAGCTGGAACTAGAGATGGGAGCTCACTCCATCATGCGGCACACTCAGGTCTTGAACTGCTGAACTACTGACCTTCCACAGCCTGCAGTTCAGCGTCTTAACCACTTGAGCCACCGCAGCTCCTTAAATTTTTGGTGCACACTGCTAAATTTATGCCGTTCACCAGGGCAGCAGAAATAATGTCTGTGATTGTCCTTAGAAGGAAGTTTTCCTCTACTCTAGCAATAATATTTGAACATAATCTGCTGTGCCATAAGAGCTAGAGTGCCAAAGAAGATGAATGATCAATACACAGCAAAAGCTAAGTACAGAGCAAAAAGGCAGAAAAAGAAAAAATGGAGATAAGAGGAGGGGAAGAAACTACTACAATCCTCTCTTTTGAATACACAAAAAAAAAAAAAGCATAGGCCTTCATAAGATAAGTCTCACAGGGAAGTTCCCTCACACTGCTGCTACAGACAAAAGGACAGCACAGGACAGCACAGCTCCACCCCCCAAGACATGCATAATCACAGCTGCATCGTGACTCTGCACAAACCCAAAGCCCCTCAGAGTGATGTACCAAGACCACAAATAGGTAAAATGGTGAGGTATGTTCCAAATACGACAAGCACAACAATTGTTTTCCCCATGCATACCTTACTAATTTTTATCTGTGCTCCGAGGCCACTGATAAAATTTCTATCTATATATTGTCAAAAGAAAATAAAACCTAAACTATGACTAATATCACAAGTATTTAACCAAGGAGTTTTAGCGCACTTGTTCACAAATGAAGAAAAAATAGCTGCTAGAGTGCC